TAGACAAACGAACACTGTGTGTTGTGTTTATGTGCAAGTATCCCATCAACACTGATGCAAATACAAGAAACCAGCCTGTGAATAGCGTCCACTGCAGTGACCAGTATGCGTGAAAAGGTTAAACCCAAAAGAATTAACAGGAGAATACTTTTTTTTACTGCACATCTGCAGTTGCGTGCCTCCCCAGCATGCTTCTGCATGGGTCAGTCAGGAGGTGCATGTCGCTTTAACCATGTAGGGCAGGGGTCTGAAACTCCTCGAGGGCCAGTGTCCTGAAACGTTTCCATGTGCCTGCCTGCTGACGTGGCAACCCCTAACCCTGTTCAAGTAAATTTAAGTAAATAAGTGTTTAGAAAATGTACTTTTATTGCACAATGTTTATTCACTCATCAGCTGATGTAACATGAGTCAAATGGCTGCGTTGCCACCTCAGCATGCAGTCAAATCTATAGAGTCCAGCTAGTGACCTACTAATTGTGTTCATGTGTGTTGCAGCAGAGACACTTGAAAGTTTCAGGACACCGGCGCTGGAGGAGAGTTTACAGAACTCCTAAGTGAAGGTTACAGGATGCACAGCTTCTTCCTGGTGATATATCTAGAAAAGTTCAGGGCTTCAGTGAAGGAAAACAACTTGTGTTTAGTCTGAAATGGGGCTGTGAGGAGATAAAGGAAGTACAATCCTTACAGAAAATCATCCTGTCACCAGGTTAGAGTCCCACATGAAATCCTCCCAGGTGTGATTGCTTTACAGCACCTGCAGTGTTGGCTTCTCCATCAGGCTTCACCTGGAAGACGTTTTCATTACTTGCGCAGCTTCCGCGCCGCCACCAGCGCCGCCACCAGCGCTTACACTCGATTCTACAGAATTGTTGCCGCTTATTGCGACAGATCCCGCCGTCGCCCCGTCTCCTGTTGCGGTTCTCAGTTTGGGTTTTTATTGCTCTGTGAAACCATAAAGGCCCCCGAGCTCGCCTTCTCCCCTCTCTTCCCCGCGCGATTATTCAGTTTCCATGGATACCTGGCTCCCTTTTCCTCTGCAAAGTGCAAATCAGAGGCTGAAGACGGGCTGACGATCAATAGCTGTGCTGTGACGTCTCCATCCAGGCTGTGACGCGTCCGTGTCATCGCCGTCCACCCTGCAGGGTTCATGTTAGAACAAGGCCCGCTAGTTTCACCATCTCACCTCCTCTTGGCCATCAAGGAGCTTCTCTTTGAGGGGAAGGTGTCCATCTGGACTTTCAGCTCCTGCAGGAACGTTCAGATTCCCTGAAGGCAAAACAAACACGCTTTAGTTTCAATAAACAAATGCATTTTCCTCCACACTGCCGTCCACAGCGTTAATTATTCAGAGCTGTGGTGTACCGTCAGTTGTTGCAAAGCCGACTTTGCTGACAGTGAAACCGTGAAAGCTGAAGACAAAGAAGCTGACGGGAGTCTTGGTCCTTTTCCAAAGGTTCTCTTTGATCCTCGGAAACTTTCACACCTTCTCCTGTTTCTGCTTTGATGTGTTTTTGGACACTTTTCATCATTCGTGAGTATGCAGAGATGCACATTTGTAGGTACACTTATCTGTTCAGGGCGTGATGTGTGGGCGGGTTTCTAAAGGCTTCCTTAAAAAGGAGCTTGTTGTCGAGGGAAGCGCGCGTCCTCAGCATCAGGTAAATGTTTGCGCTGTTAGATTCGACCTTTAATCAGCTGTCAGCTTCCTGCAGGAGAAACAGATGCCTGAATATTTCCTGCAGCTCCTCTCGGGGGATGCTGTAGCGCTCCCGGACCAGATGGGATGTAAAATCCCTGCATCGACTTTTCCCCGGAGTCTTTCTCAGGTGGAAGCGTCTGTAAAAGAGTTAAAAGGACAC